TGCTATAGGGTTATTGCTGTTTAGTTGTTGGCTAAAAATTACATTTCTGCAACGCTTCCCTATTTTGGTCAGATGACCATGTGTTGATAACAATGGGGCTAGAGTGAGGGTCAACATGTATCATGTAGATTTCACACGCTCAAACAGTAACAAACTAACAAGATCTTTTGTCAGATTCTACAGCTGGATACCCATTCCCACCTAGGTGAAGCGAGGAAAATGTAAGGTGCCTTTCCCAAGGGCACAAAGTCAGGCCCATTGTGGGATTCAGATCCATGACCTTATGCTTGAGAGTCCAACAGTCTAACCACTAGACAACAGATGGTATGACGGACAAGTTTTTCTCAAGCTTTCTGGAACATTCCTTAACAGCCCGTCAAGAAAACCAGGCCACAAAACTTAAAAATCTCCAGTCCATGACCATGTATAGTCAAACACTTAATTTTAACCAAAACAACTTATGCAGTAAAACTCGTTATAAACTACTGAAACAAAACAAAAGCATATGTTTGAGAGGAACACGTAAAAACGGCTGCAAAATTCTCACACTTCTTCCACAAGTTCAACCAAATCACAACTAACTAAGATCAATCAATAAATACCCTTCACAATTATTCCCTAACTGAGCCATCTACCAGTCAGTAAGACATCTTGTTGCAAACAGCGGAAGTTTAAGCCAGGACTTCCCTGAATGCATCACACACTAGTATTGACATTATACAGTCAAGTAACTTGAGGGAAAAGAAGAAAACCAGAAAACATGCTCTTTATGAAATTTTAATTTTTGTTTCTGATGTGACTTGATACGTGTACATATATAAACATACAAGTACATGATATAATAATAGTAATGCTTTGGATTTGGAGTTATTACAAAAGAAGGAAAAGACGGAACCAAGCACAGAAAATGAACAACAAAAACAAATCGTAAACAGAACACATGCAGTCTCTTACATTTGTTAAAGCAGGATTGCTGTTTATAAAGGTAATGAGGTCTTTTAAAACGAGAAACTCAAAGGGATTTGTTTTGACACATCCAAAAAAAAAAAGATACCCAACCCCAAAAAGGGATTCAGAAAAGATGAACACTTGACAACATTATATAAACCCAAAAAAATCAGTCTGAGAAAGAAAACAATTTCTAAGCCATGGGTCTCCACAGATGTGATGGCGCATTTTCTGTGAATTTACCAGATTTCACAAAGGAACAAAACCAAAAGTTCAATTTCAGTCGATGTGACGAGTCTGCAAAATCCACAGTGAACTCCCCCAAATTTCGAGCCCATGAGAAGTTCCTCTAGGTGAGAGTTACATTTTATGATTAAACAACCGCGGTCCATTGTTCCCCATGACACCATTATGCATCTTCCCAGTAAAGGTGCTGCTAGCTTGAAGAACAACCTTTATATTAAATGAAAAAAAAACACCAAAAAAAACAACATAAAGCTGTAGCTACGATAGAAATAAAAACAAAACAATTCTGATCACTCGGCTGAAACAACTAGGAAAAAAAATTGTTCCCAACATTAAAATTTGCAGAGGAAGAGAGATGACCACCGAACATGGAAATGTGCAGAGGAAGGAAACAAACACTTTTACTGGTCGGGAAAAAAAAAAAAAAGGGAGTACTTCATTGCACTCATCTAATCCATCTCCATATCAGTTTACAAAAATATTTGATAAATCAAGTGCTAACATTTATTGGAAATGCTAATAAACATGATCCCTACAATACTCTTCCTCAGCGGTTTATCAAACTATACTCAAGGTATGTATTTTGGGTTCTTTCATGACAACATAAAACGCTGTTAAAGTTTTAAGATTTAAAAATAAAGTAAACTTGTTTCTCTTGGCTTTCTGTACAAGGAGTATTATATTTATATTATTATTATTATTCCAGCCATTTAAACCAGAGCACCAGTGATGACAATTTTGTCTGACATGATAAACAAATTCAGCTCATGAAAAGCGTCGAGACACTGAAGAGAGCCATAGAGAACCGGTAAGTGTAGAAAGATGGTTTGTGACAATGGGTCTGCTAATCCTAACATGTCCTTATGCATAAGGGTCCAGTGACCGGCACAGTCCACTGCAAACATAACGCAAAAATATCAGACAGTAATGAGGGGCTGCTGGCAATTTGAAGGTCTTCCTCACATTTGAAAAAAAATCTACACTTGAACACTTTCAAAGAACAGAGTAAAAGAAAATAAAGATTTAACATGAGCTACGACGAGAACATATCATATTATTACTTTACTGAACACGTAACTCTTTCATTCATGTCCTTCGTGCTCACAAACTCTAAAAAAGAAAAAAGAATGAACTTTAATTCTCTGCATGTACTAATTTTTTTGAAAGATCAAAATACAGCAAGTGTAATACTAGTACAGTGCGCATGGTCACTCAGTTTCAGTGGTAATAAGCTCAATTCTCTTGGCCATCTCTCCATTCTACTAACAACTGCAAAACATTTGAAAAAGGCAGTCATTGATGACTAACTACTAACTTGTATTCTCTTCTCCACCCCACAATGTTGCTAAGTACTCATATCGATAACATGTCAATGATGAAACGATAGTGGTATATATATATGTATATATTTCCTCACTTCACCAGTACATTTATGTGGCATTGGTAAAGCTGTATCTTACTACACCTCTCACCCCCCCCCCTCCCCCAACTAACATACTATGCTAATACTAATACTATACAAAAATGCATGCCTATGATCATCCCTGTACTCTCTCTCCTCTGGCCCCCATTTAAATCCGCCAATCAACAGACAAACAACAGCAGGCATTCAGAACCATCATCAAATCTGACTTGAGCAACCATACACAAGGGTACCAAACGCTTTTTCAAAGTGATACATTCACAGGTTAAGATATGCAATGAGATACAAGATATATTTGTAACAAGCACTGACGATGAACGATTGCCTGAAGCCCAGCACTTTCTTCACATCAGCAAAGACAAAAAAACCAGCACGACACAAAAGGGCCTCGTCCTTACAACAGTTCAACAAAAACGTGAGGAAAAAACCTTCCAACTCTGATAGTAAAAAACATAGTGCACCTGGCACAGTGTAGAACAAGAAATGACTTCAGATATTACAATTGTCTTTTTAAGAAGTTGATTTTACAATTGTCTTTTAAAGAAGATGATTTTTATTTAGTTAACAAAGTCTATGTAGAACACAGTTCTTTTTATGATTCAAAACAATTGTATTATCGTAAACTGACAAGGCTGACAACATTGTCAAGTCCCACATTCTTTTGAAGAATGACAAGACTTGCTGTTTATGTAATTTCAGTACCGGTATAGGCAGTTCTGACTGGATGGACAAACAAAATTTATATAACAGTATGGCTAAATGTGAGGCACACCGCACACACGCACAGTGCCATGAAAAACACGTGCTCGGGCAGTGGTTGACTCGACAATTGAAACTACCGACAGCATACACATCCAAGGCACTGATGTAAGGGAGATGGGGGGGAAGAGAACAGAATTGCAAGTACTGACATGCATGCATAATTTTTTGGTCAACGTACAATACATAGCATAAATAATTGTACATTAGGCAACAATGTTGAACATATCAAAGGATGAAGAGGACGGGAGGGCTTGTCTATTATACCAGCTTTGTTGCTGCGCGGTTATTCTTTCCTTCCCCCACTGGTTAAGAAATATCTTTTCTTACAAGTTTTCTCTTTCTTTCTCTCTCAACTTTTAGATAGTTCAACAAGTTTTAACAGTATGATACAAGACGTAATGTACATGGTAATATGGACGTGTGCTAATTAAAGACTCAGACATGATGATAGAATGTCCGACAAGAGGTCAAGCAGGATGGGAGATTCTCTGACTTGCTTGTGCGCATTAATCGGCTAAAGACTCCCTTCGCAAGTGCTCAGTGCATTACATACTGGCTATTTGTACATGATTTTTTGTGGACCGCTTGGCTTCATGCAAATGATATAGAAGTTTATAGAGTATGTATAGAAAGCACATTTAACATAAATGCACGACGACGGAAACTCTTGCCATTTTTGTTCTTTTCCACATTAGAATAAATTATAGTATATAGATGAGTCAACACAAACTGAAAACACAGAAATTTGCACTGGTCACGTAAGATAAAGGAAGTGAGGGCACACAGGCCCCAGAACCTTGACTATTGTTCTTTCCACATTACAATATTAGACACATAAACTGATTTACTGGACCTTTTCAAACATTTTAATTCTTTAAGTTGGTGACTTTTGCGAGTTTTCTTCAGTGGAAAGTGAAGGTTTGAATTCATCCAATCCCTGGCACAAGGCTGTGTGGCAAATAATATCAAAGTAGGCTTTTTATGGGGTTGTTTCACAGGGACCGTATTGAGGCATCAACAGCTGAATCATCAAATCTTTTTTTTCTTTCAACAATAAGTAAGGAAGAAACTGCTGGAGTTGTTCAAATTCAAATCAAATTGAGTCCTCAGTCACGAGAACTTAACAAAGGCGAATAGCTACTGTCATGACACTGCTATCCAAAACATTTACCGAGAAAGCTGGGAGGTTGAGTAGAAGCAAAGAGTCTACATAACAAGAGGGGCCACTTCTCTCTTTGAGCCAATTAAAAAAGTGTCCTCAAAATTCGGTGGCGCCCTCGTCACAAAAGCGCACCCTTTGCGTAGAGAGTTACCCTACTTGAGTTTAAAAAATCAAAGTGAAACTAGCAAGTTTTTTAATAAATTTCGGAAGAACGCTTTTTTAAAATGGTTACGCTGACAAAAAACCTCTTCCGGAGGAAAGGGTGATTGTTTTCTTCGTTTAATTTGACTTTAGAATGAAAGGCGAGAGGTCATTAAAATAAAAAAGACCCCTAAAACTCCATACTGAACGAACCCGAACTGCTGATGAACAGCAGTCGATCTGCGCACGCAAGGAGGTGCTATTCCTATTCTTCTTCTGGAAAAACGAAAGAGAGCTTCAAAACAGACTGCAGCGCCATCTGAAGCAAAGAGCATACTTCCTGCGGACACTTTTTTGGCTGAGTGGCCCATCTTGTTATTTACTATCTTTGGTAGAAGGTAATTACTAACGCTCGCCACAGACAATACATTATTTCAGGTCCTTTCATAAATAGCCTAGCCTAGCCGTACAGTACAAGACAACTAGTAACTACCAACATTAGCAAGTTTCGTAGAATTTCGCTTTGTCTCGGATCTCTGTCAGGAGGACGTCCATCCGGTCGTTCAGCTTCTTGATCTCATCCGAGAGCTTGTTCAATCGACCCTCGTTGCCCGTGATTTTCTTCTCTATCTCTGAAATGAGCAAAAGTAACAACAACAAAAATGAAAATCTGCAACAAATACAATCGGGCATGGATATCTCAAACATGTTGTTTTAGTTTTAGTAAGAGTTTTACGGCACTTGCAACACAATAAGGTCATATAAGTGCCGAAGATTAGAGGTGTTACAAGAGAGTAACAAACATAAAAAAGAAGGAGGGGAGATAAAGACAATAGATGTTTGATAGGAAAGAAGAAGCAAACCATACCAGAGCACCCGCCAACCACCCACCAAACATGTCGGGAATTTTCACCAAACAATAAAATGTTAAAGACATATCACTTGGGGAATGGCAAATTGTATGAGCTAATCGTGGTTTTGAGTTTTCCATGTTCCTGTTCTCTGTATCTGACTGCAATGCTCTACCACTTGACACCTCCGTGTGGGCTACGGATATGACACATCACACTAACAATGCAGCCAAGCTTCAAAGCCACACACTATGTTTAGGCTCAGCAGGAGCCAGAAAACTTCCTAGTTCAGAAGTTCAGAGGCACTCAAGTGTTATAATCTATGATGTAATTGAGGAGGTGTTTAATGGCATTATCGACATGAAAGCGACAAGAACAGACAATTTGTAAAAAGCCTAATTTTTTACTAAAAAGACAAACAAACGTTAGTAAAATTCTTTCTAAATATGGTAAAACGTTCTACTTACATGCAATGTAAAGTTGTAAACAAGCCAATTTCTTTTACAAAATTTAGAATCTTCTTGTAGTATTAAGTCTAACATCACGTAACCACTTAGTGGAATACTATTTAAACACAAACTAAACTTCTTTTTTCGACAACCAACGATAAACACACGAACACAAAGTGATCCCTACCTTTCAGCTCATTCATTTTGGTCTCTGTTGAGTTGTAGATGGCATCGGCTCTCTTCTTCAGTTTCTCAGCGCGTTCCTTGGCACCTTTTGTGTCCTTGTACTTGTCGCTCACCATCTCGGCGGTATCGTTATAGGTGGCGTCAAGCTGGAGGGCTTTCTGCAGTCAAATAAGAAAAAAAAATTAATTTAATGAAAGCAATTGCTTACCCCTTCGTTGCCTTAAGATGTACCTGGTACGTCCTGAAAATGCGTCATTTTTAGCTCTGTGCTGTACCATGTATGCCACGGAAGTTGGAAACAATTTGCCACTCCTGGTTGCCTATATAACATTACATGTAGGGTACGCTAATAACCTGGCTCTAATTCTTCTGTATGGAGTTTTAGCCACAACTACTGTGTGGATTCAAATTCAGGAATAAAAGATAGGCATATCGGTACTAAACTTGTTAGTGCTACTTTACTACTAGGTTTGCAAGCGATCGAAAAACAGATCTAAGCTTGCGGGTAGCTATGGACTTTCTCAAAATGTAAACACCAAAATAACCTTTAAAAGGCAAAAAAAATCACTTTTTGACTTAGATTTGCAAGTTATTCCAAATTTGAGTACGATGGAAGAAAATAAGGAATGAGAGAAGTGAGAAAAGTTACTCTATTGAAGACGCGGGGCCCGAAATATGTTCACTAGTGCACTAGATCTAGACCGCATGTCCATTAACACTGAGACATGAAGACTGCTGTCCTGGTTAACAAACTCAGCTGAAAATCAGCGCTGACAGTAGGAATGTATATGCCCTGACAACAAAAGCGTTAAAATATATGATTTTGTACCACTTGAATACTTTCATAAGAAAAAGAGGTGCCTACTAGCTACGAAAAAGAAATCCTGAACTTTCCAGACTCACTTGAAGTTGGGCAAAATCACGACAATTTTAGAAATCTGGATATCCAGATTTATTTGGAAAAATCAACACTTCTGAAGTTTACCCATTGGTGGTAACTCTAGAAGAAGAAAAGTTGTGGATTTTCTTTCCTTTCCATATACCGCTGTTTATGTTTTAACTGAGTTCGGTGATTAAGTGGACTCCACTGTACTTTAACTGAAATTATTCAAAATGTTGAATATCTTGAACCCGACATTCCCTATTGGAACCACGGTACAAAGTTTATTTCACTGTGCGATGAGTCCATTAAATTTGGTATGTTCCATCAAAAACAAGGTACAACTAACAGGGTTCCAGCCGTGAATTCCCAACAAAATTCGAGGAGATTTCAAGGAGGTTTCAAAGAGAAATTCTTAAAATTCAAGGAGAATTTCCGATAGGCATACACTTGTCCAAAAGGAATCGTAGTTTCGATTCTCCGACAAAAATTTTGTTAATATCCAATCCGGCGAAATTCAAAGAGTTTCCAAGGAGATTCGTCAAATTCGAGGAGTTTTCAAGATTTTTCCTTGAACACAAATTCAAAGAGTTTTCAAGGACTCCTTGAATTCATGGCGGCCGCAGGAACCCTGTAAACATGACGTATCTAAGAGGCTGTGGAACACGTACATCGTAAGCTCCCTTGGCCAGTCTGGTGGCTTCCTCAGTAGCATCCTCAGCGCGGTTCAGCGTGTCCTCTTTGAGAGCCGTGTAGCGTTTGATGAGCTGGGACAGCTTCTTCTTCAGCTCCTCCAGGACGTTCAGGCTGCCCTCCGTGAGAGCAGTGACCGTGCCCGTCTCTTGCCGAATCTGAAACACACACACACACACACACACACAAAGTCAGATTTTGATGGAAGACTAGGTAAAATTACATTAATCTCAGGTAAATATAAGGCAAGAAAACCAAAATGACATTAACAAATTACAAGTTAATCTTCAGAGCATCATTTTGTCCACCAGAGCAGAAACGGTCTGATTTTTTGTTGTTGTCAGGAGGAGGCAGTTTGGTAGACAAGTTTCCAGCACGAGTGACAGGTCAAATGTCAGGTAAAAAAAGGACCGTTCACAAATGACTTCAGCTACAATTTGGCCAAAAATGACCCCTCCCCCCTTGTCATCTTCTGTCACCTTTCCCAGGGATCCCCCTCCCTCAGGTTGCCATCAACCAAAATGTACATGTACATTTAGATAGAACCTGTACAGGATGCATTTTATTACAACAAAAAATTACATGAACTGTCAAATTATTAATTAACAACTTTAACCAATAAAAATAATTAAAACAAATAGATTGGATATCACAACTTGGAAACTATAAACAAAGCAAAAAGATAGGAGTATCTTCTCAGCTACGAAAAAATAAATATCAAATAAATCTTTTCTTTTTTCTCAAAATCTTTTAGAACATCATGGTTGACATCAATTTTGTAAAGACCCCCCCCAGCTGACGTCATTTGTGAACGGTCCGACGTCATTTGAGAACAGTCCGAAACCAGTCCTCCGTTACCAACTTCCCGAAAGATGGACGATAATTGGTCAGGCAGTTTCTGATTCGGTGGATACGTGGACTTACACAGCTATAGCTCGATGGCTTCGGGTCAAGCTCATAGAGAGTACTTACCGAGAAGCTGAGAATGTTTCTGAGTGTTCTACGGTCTGCTGGGGTAATAATATAGTGTAAAGCGCATAGAGCTTGCTGTCAAGCGGGGTTATGCGCTATACAAATGCTATTTATTTATTATTATTATTACTTACAGTGTTGAAATCATCCTCAGCATCCTGAATATCCTGGGTGGCCATCTCTATGGCTTTAGCAGCGCTGGCCTGAACTCTCTTGGCCTCGTCCAGGGCATCCCTCACATCCTGGGCTGTGTTGCGAATGTCCTGAGCATCCGCTCTAGAGCAAGAGACATACAAAATTAGCACCAAGAAAAATATCAAAGTATCATGTTGAAAGTACATGTCCATCTATTTTTTCCCTCTTGCAAGTTAATGCCCATTCACTTTAAACATACTGCAAAAAGTAGAATACAACAGAGGAATTTTTAAAGAAATCCCAGGAGGCCATTTTGCACTCTACAATACCAATATGGAGATTAGAAAAGACTAATTATGTTTTGTACATTACTCTCTAGTAACACCTCTGATCTTCGGCACTTATATGACTCACAATTCATGATGTCAGTGCCATAAAACTCTTACAAAAACTAAAAAGACTAAAGACAATTTAAAAATCAGGATCTCAGGGGGAAAAAATCAGGATCTGGTGAAAAAAATCGGGATCAATGACAAATCTCAGGGTGACTGCCAAGGTGACTTAAAAATTTTCCAGGGGTGGCCATAAATATAATAATATACATGTACACTATACATTATGCCCTCTATATACATATATGCTATATATTATGCCCTCTATATACATATACGCTATATATTATGCTCTCTATATACATGTACGCTATATATTATGCTCTCTATATACATGTACACTATATATTATGCTCTGTATATACATGTACACTATATATTATGCTCTCTATATACATGTACACTATATATTATGCTCTCTATATACATGTATACTATATATTATGCTCTCTATATACATGTACGCTGTATATTATGCTCTCTATATACATGTACGCTATATATTATGCCCTCTATGACAATAGCAACATTCAGAACTCACGAAGCACTCTCAGCTTGTCTCTTCAGCTCTTCTGCAATGTCCCTGCTGCCCTTTGTGTCTGCCAGAATCTTGTCAATGTCTGTCAGAGACTCAACCGCTCTGTTGATTTTCTCTGCAAGCTCTCGGATCTTGTCGGGATTCATGGGGATCTGCATGTTCAAGACCTCTTCTGCAATCTGCAACACACATTGGAGAGAATGTTTTTGTACGTCATGAAGCTCTTTCTGTTGTTCTAATTGATTACTATTGCAAGAAAACAAGACAATGGGGTTTGTTCAAGTTGAATTCAGATCTGCAGTAGTTTACTGGGAGGAGAGGAAAAACCATTTTGTGTCAAACACGATCAGGCACATCTTGATCGAATGTCCAGAATTTGGAGAGACCCGAAGGAAATATTTCCATTATTGAACCCAACAAAATTCTCGATTTTATAAAAGCCATTTGTCTTTTCTCCTGGTTGCAAATAGTGTTATTTTAAAAAAGTAAATATCTGCTTTTAAAAACTAGATTTTCATTGTGTATTTTTAGATACTTCAAACCAAGTCAACCTGCAAAATAAAAACCAAACCTTGCTATGAACTAACATGAAAACAACCAACTTGTATCCGCTGCGCTCATATGACCGTATGCAGTTGCAGTAGCCGTAAAACTTTTACCACACTGAAGCTGATTCACACACCTTCTCAATATCTTCTGGTGTAGCAGTTTCGTTGCCAATCAAGAAGTCCCTGATGTTGGTGAGAAGAGCCTTCAGGTCAGCCTTGGTGCTCTCCGTCATGTTCTTAGCCTTGGAAGCTTCGTCAAATGCAGACTGGGCATCAGCCTTGGCTCCCATAGCGTCACGTTTGGCTTCTTGGATCTGGGGGTTGGTAAGGAAAAAAAGAGTTTACATAGGGGAAAAGTGTGCAGGGGAGTGCCAATAGATTAGTTGGAATGATGGACCATGGTGTGGATCACCCAGAATCGAATTCCTATCAGGGTTTTCTTGAACTTGGGTTGTTTGAGGATTTTTTAAGGCTCTCCACAAACCAAGCTCTTTCCTTTCATTTTCAGAGATAAGACTTATTCTGAGGTCCCATCAGTGTTTAGTGTTTATTTTAAATCTTACTATACCATAGACAGCTCCACCAGCCCACCCAGTAATTATTGTACTTGTTTGCCAAGGAAAAAAGAGTAGATTTGAGCTGCGAGGTAGTTTACTCTGAGTTAGCTTGTTAAATGCTGCTTTGTTTGTTGGGGTAAAGAGAGGCACATCAACACAATAACTGTCATTTACTGAAGGGGAAAATAAGATCAATGGACAGAAACAACAGAGGGCAAGAAAACAAGAAAGATTTACCACTACCACTGGCACCCTCCAAACACCCACAATAAATTCTGTAATTAACCATGAACAAATAATCAGGAAACATATACCAAGACAGAAACAAAATAACCAGATCACATGACAAAGCCTACAAACAACTCGCATAGAAAATATCGTCTAGGGCTTGAATAAACAGCTGGACAGCAGAAAGAAATGGTAGCAGTGAAAAAGCAGCATGATTTTTTTTAAAATCCAGAACTTCTCAGACCACATGGAAACTCAAAATTTACGGGTCATATTGTCTATTGAATCATGTTCTACGACTATTTTATATAAAGTGCAAAAAAACAAGCAAAAAGAGATTAAAATATAAATAATTGCGTGAGAAAGAGTATTATACAAACCCGAACATTTTCAGATATATGGATTTATCAGCAAAATCGGCATTACTGGCCAGTGAAACAAAATCTGCAAAACCTGTCAAAAGAAAACTGAAGCAGAACAAAGTCCTTGCATTGACTCCAGTACTCACCCTGGGGATCAGAACGTCAGTGGCATTGGCCGTCTTGGCCTTGAGCAGGTCCTCAGCCCGCTGTGCCAGGGAGAAGGCGGTCTGTGCGATGGTGACCGCTCCGTTACATCCCGTGCCCCCGCACATACCGCAGCCGCCGCCCCCACACAGACTAGAGCAGGGGTCACCCTGGCCACCACACACCTGAAAACACACACACACAGGAAAAGGTCAAGGGCCAGCATAATAATATCGTAATAATAATAATGATAAGAATAATAATAATAATGATGATAACAAAAATAATAAAAATGATGATAACAAAAATAATAACAACAACAATAATAGTGAAAATGTAGATTTTTTATAGCGTCTACTCTCATGTGCACACAGCTATGGGAGCTTTTCAGAAATCCAAGCACGAATTCATAATTTATGAGCAATATTGTACAAACTGTGAAAAATTAATCTTTGCTCACATGCACATACAAAAGAAATACATATAATAATAATAATAAATAATAATAAATAGCATTTGTATAGCGCATGTCTCCACTCGAAAGCAAGCTCTATGCGCTTTACACTATATTATTACTCAAGCACACCATAGAACACTCAGAAACATTCTCAGCTTCCCGGGAAGCATACAGTGCAAGCAGCTGGTTAAGCGCTCAAACACTAACAAACTGACAAGATCTTTCACTGTCTATAGCTGGGTACCCATTTTCACCTGGGTGAAGTGGGGAAAATTCGTGTAAAGTGCCTTTCCCAAGGACACAACGTCGTGCCCGCTCCTCGAACCCCCGAACCCGCAACCTCACAATTACGAGTCCCGTAGCCTAACCACTAGGCCACCGACGCCACCATATATAACACACACACACACACACTTATTCACATGCACACGCACACACATCCACACACACACACATCCAACTAAACAAGGCTGCTGTGTGCCAGCTGAACTGGGGCGCCCTATACTAAAAGACTAACAGTTAAATAATAAGTTTCTATCAGCTATCTTACCATGTTGTTGATCTCGGACAAGTCCCCTCCCAGATTCCTGACGTCGTTCTCAAGGCGGTCCAGAGCGTCTCTGTTCTCATCCAGCTGCTCGTTAAACCTGTTCTCTCTGGGGACATCACAGGGGGGAAGCAAAGATGTACTCCAAGACGTAAGTAGTGTTGTTTCTTCAAAAATGTAAATTGCTGCATTTAAAACTGAATTTTTATAAATTACTTTAGGATGCTGCACTTCAACAATGTACTCCAAGATGTAAGTAGTGTTGTTTCTTCGAAAATGTAAATTTCTGCTTTTAAAACAGAATTTTTACAATTTATTTTTGGGATCCCGTACTTCAACCATTTCAACAAGCAAAGAGTGAGCTAGAACTACCCTGATAGAATAGCAAATAGACAAAAAGAAGAAAAAAAAATGAAATCCAACCACTTAGAACTGAGAAAGAAAACAAGACAACAAAGCCTCTGCTGTCACCACTGCTTATAGAGCATCAGATAGAAAGCATGGTAACCTCTCTCTCTTTTTCTCTCTATCTGTCTCTCTCTCTATCTGTCTGTCTCTCTCCCTCTCTCTCTCTCTCATTCTCTCTTTCAGTCCATTCTCTCTCTCTCTCCCTTTCTCTCTCTCACTCTCTCCCTCTATCTATCAGACTATCGGTGATTCAGTGTCCTTTGAGGGCCTGTCGATAGATGTCCAGCGAGTCAAGCTTGTCTCGGTTCCTTACCTCTGTGCAAGCAGACGTTCCGTGTCCCCCCTGACCCTGGCAGACTGGTCCAGGATCTGGGCGGTACCGTCGACCTTGACCTGGGCCTCCCGTGACTCTCTCTCCGCTTCTTTGATCTTCTCAAAAGCACCTGATTATCAGAAGAAACTCAGTGTCGTTATCCCTTTCATCAATACAACCCTCATAACGGCCAACCCTCTTCCCCCCGCTCCTGCAAAACCAACAGAAAAACTTAAATAAGTACAAGTTTTTAAAAGTCGAGTCGTTGCTTACACAGTACGTTTTTTCAAAATTAAATATTATGGCGTTAATATAAACACCGAAAAGAAGTTTTAATTCACCTTTAGTAAGAGTTTTACTGTACTTGCAACAGAAATAGGTCACATAGACGACAAATAGTTTAAAAGTATTAGTGGGGTGTAAGCAACACACAAAGAAAAGATGGGAAAGGACAGCATTTTCTACAAAAGGTCGCCAAACTTTAACGATGATTGGTTTGGTTTGACAGAGGTTTTACTGCACTTGCAAAATTTTTTAAGTCGTATTAGTGCTGAATATTCGAGTAACAAACATAAAAAAGAAAGAAGATGGCAAAGATCGACAGTGAATTGTGATAGAAGGAGCAAACAGCACCCACCAATTGCCTACAACATTACCATGACATGATAATGGTAACATTTTGTCAATAATGGATGTAAGGATATGAAGTATCAGGAGCAGATCACACCGAACCACCCGCTAATGATTAAAAACAATTACCTCCTACTTCCTGGATTTGTATATTGGTAGCGTTCTTTTGCAGCTCCATGGCTAAAGCTTTCAGGTTCTCCACTTTGGACTTGAGCAACTGAATCTTCAGGCTTCCTTTCTTCACTCGGGCATTGGTCTGACTCAGCACCTTGTCCACATCGTTCAGTGTCCTTGTGTTCTCCGTCAGGTTGGCCCTGCAAAAAAAAAATTCTGATTATGGTAATAATCATGGGTTGCATTTACAAGGAGCACTCAGTGAAAGCTCAGAGTGTTTAACAAAGATCAGAGTGTTTAACAAAGATCAGAGTGTTTAACAAAGATTACATGAACAACTACACTTACTCATCAATGGCAAAGACACAGTACACACAAACTCTTTCTAGCACAGACACACACACACATAAATAGCTAAAATACAGACAGACAAACAGCTCACACACATCCACACACACAGACTAACAGCTCACTCACACACACACACACCACACACAAAAACAGCCGACACTCCGATACGCACACAAAACCATCCGTCACTCTGATACACACATACACACACACAAACACACAGAGCCAGCCAGCCACCCACCTGACAGTGTCCAGCATGTTCTGGATATCCTGGATGTCCACCTGGGTGAAGTCCACGCTGGCAAGAATCCTCTTGATCTCGTCAATGTTGTCCTGCATGAGCCGGAATTCTTCATCAAACGCCTTGATAGCCCCCGTCACAGACACGTCGTTCGCTCTCTTCACAATGTCGTGGGTCAGGCCTGGAAAACATCACATTATAGTTGCTTAACCCACCAAGTCTCAACAGCCGATCCAATTGGTCGTAAGTTTTGTTCTGCGGTGTCACGGCTGATCATTTTGGCTGTAATTTGAGCTGCTGTTTCGGTTCATTTATACCATTTTTATATCATGAACCATTGCAACTCCTTCACAAATGAGCTCTACTTCCTATTTACATTCTACTTTCTGAAAATGTATAGGTTTATGGCCTTCATTTGCTTGATATGCCTATTTCAAGCATTTTTAAATGTAATATGATGCTATGGCATTCACAAACAGTATTTTTATAAAAGCAAACCAAGTTGAAAGCAAGCCAAGTCTATCATAAAAAAGTGAAAAACAAGGTGGGTCGTGTAAGGAGTAAGGTGACTTAGTCTATTCTTAACACCTGTTAGAGTTTTTTAAGTTTTAGCGTTAGCCTTCACATACAAAGGCTCAAAGTGACAAACCTCTAAGGTCCTGTATAACAGAGTCCCAGTTGTCGAAGCACTCTCCGCACGGCACACAGTTAGGCAGGTCCCCAGTCGTGCCGCGAGCACAGCGGTCACACTTGAAGCCTGTCACACCCTCCACGCAGACACACTGACCGGTGCGACGGTCGCATTGACGGGCAGATGATCCTTGTGGGTTGCAGTCGCAGGCTGAGAGGGCAAGATGGAAAATATAAAATGAGTTTCGTCATCGAAGTCAATGATGGGTTAGCACAATTACCAGCCAAATTCTGCCAGGTTTTGGTTTGAGTAGAAAGAATCCCATCCTCATAATAATGGTCATTCTGTGGTGGAAAGAAGTGAGACAGATAGACATTTACAACAAAGGTGAAAGAAAAGAAGCAGGACCTACTAGTGACGCCCTCCAACCACCCAAATTCTGTCAGGAACAGAATAGGAAAATAGCAATGCTTAATAGCAATTGTGAGAAAAAACGAAAGAAGCAGTTCAAGTTTGAGTTTGATCAAAGAGAAGAGCAGTAACACAATAACCCTTATTTAGTGCAGGGAAAATGAGACAGACTGATGCAAATAACAAAGGACAAGAAAAGAAGACCAATTAATGATGTCCTCCAACCACCAACTTACACACTTAATGCAGCAGACCAAATCATAGCCCAATACAACCATCAAAGCAGTTGTACAATAGGAAGTTAGCCTAACCGTTTGAATAAAAGAAATAGATGTTGAAAGTGGAAACAATGGCCCATCACACAGAACTGAGAACAGAAACGTTGAACTTGCACAATACAACACAGATGAAAAAATCAGCTCAATGTCCATACAGCAGTGTGCAAAAATATGCAGACTTGGACCCCAAAAAAAGTCAGAGGAAATCATGTGCAGGGAACAGAGTACTAATGTAAAACAAGACAAGATAGACAGAAGGAGAAGAGGAAGAAGTTGGATGCTTCAAATGATGTCTCTGATGTGTAGGAAGACTTCTCCAAAAAACCAGAGCTCATAAAGAATAAGAAGTTAATTTTTTAAAATGAGAATATAATACACAAGCTCTACCAATACTGCCTTCAAATCCCTCATACACAGTGGTAGGGTGTAAAACTAGAGTCGAGTTGGAATCCAAAGGTACCCAGAACTATAGTCCAGAAACAAAAGAGTACTCACGAATACACTGGTCCAGGGGATCGCCATAGAAGTAGTCCTCGCAGTCCGCACACTTTGGTCCACCCCGTCCTGGAACACAGCTGCACTGTCCATCAAACTGAGGATGGTCAATTCAAATAAAAATACAGTAAAACCCCCAGAGTACAAACTATAGAAAGACCACTGGGCTACAAAATACATTTTTTTTACTGGGTCCCATATCTTAATACAGCTTCATCTCAACACCACACTAAAAACGCATCACAGGTACAAGGGAAATATTTTTCTATCCAAAGAGAGTACAGTATACTCAGGTTTTGCAGTACATTTTACAGGACAATTTGCCCTAATTCTTGAAGTTTACGATGAAAGTAAATCTCTTTATTGGGAGTTCTAAAGCGGCATAGTTATTTGACTTGCAACTTTCAGGGATTTAAAAAATAAATTGTCCAAGCAAAAAAGCACCTACACATTCTGTGCCTCTACTGAGATCGCTGACTGTAAGTTTAAGAATACAAAAAATATATCTGTATACCTCAAGGGAAAAGAAAATTAACCCTCATGAATTTTAATTTGAACTTATTTCAAAAATGAGCTCGGACAATTTAAATAGCCATGTTCTAGTACTGTGAAGCTGGCATAAATAAATAAACTACTTGGAGTTCGCTATGGCCAGGCTCAGACAAGCGTGGTATCAACTGCTCTATGCCTTACATACCTGACGGTACAGGGGAAAGAGTAAGTAAACAAGTTGTAGTTTGCTTATGTACTTCTGGAAACAGCAGCTTAATACTAACACAAAGATGGTCTTGTTAGAGGGTTTAGGGTATCTTTATTTTTTTCTTCCATTGTTATTTCTGTTGTGGGGTTGTTTTTTTAATTTCCTCGTACCGATACTCAAATGCCTTTTCCTTCCTCATTTTTCCAGTTACACACATATTAACATAAATCAATGAAAACTATAAAAAGAGTTTAAATATGCATCTGAGACACGACTTGAAACTTTAAAGACGAACATTCAAAATAAACTGAAGGGGTCTTTTGTTTCTAAAGTCATAGACTTCTCTTCTCTTCAATCAAACTCAAACTTGAACTGCTTCTTTTAGTTTTTCTCACAATTGCTATTAAGCATTGCTATTAAGCACATCACTAAAAACAAAGCTGTGCCGCAGAAGCCCACCTCGTTACACTGTGAAGACAGGGAGCCTGAGGGGTCACAGTCGCAGGCCGTGCAGCCCACTCCACCCGCCATGTCCCAGTGGTCAGCAGCGCACTGATCACAGCTCTGGCCCACCACGTTGGGAAGGCACGGACACTGGCCGGTCACTCGGTCACACTCGCCCAGGCTCACGTCTGTGCCCAGCTGGTTGCACACACATCCTGCAGAGCGTGGGGGGGGGACGACATGAATATTTTGTCACATTTTGTCAAATGCATCCTCAGACATTGACAGAAAACTATTACGCTATTATAATTATTTTTTGGGTCAAATATGTCAGCTGCAAAGCAATGAACATCGTTTCACAGTATTGTCACGACTCAATATGACTTTAAGGCCCTTTTCTTACATTATCATTAAAGTTGAACTTGTCCCAGATGAAAAACCATTGTCAAGGACACAGGTGGTCCATTTGGTCAGTGTCATTACAATATTGAAAAAATGCAAAAAGGGAAGAAGGAAGTGGTCTTTTGTAAAAGATGAGATACCAAAAATGGTCAAAAGGATTCGCTTCTGGAAACAGCAGACAAAACATGGAACTCCATGTCAGGATTGTCTTGGTTCTGATATTAAAACATATTATCCAATGATAACAACACAATAATAATGATCAAGAAGAGCTGAGAAAATAGCAAAGCATCAGATATAAATAATGACAAGAAAGCAAAAAGTAAAAAAAAAAAAGTGGGCTAGTGACCATCAGGAGGGCCCATCCATACAGATACTATTTAGCACAAGTAGGCTATCCTGTGTTCAGAAAATTTTTGCTAACTTACGTATTAGAACCATCATTGGACCATCGCCTATATCTTGTCAAAGTTACTTCACTGAATATTAAACAATACATTATTTATTTCTGATGACCGATTCTAATTGTGTATCCGCCAATTTAG